GTTCTTGAGAAACTTCGAAAAAAGCAGCGTCATGTTCAAGTGGATTTTGCAACTCCAAAAAAAACCACGCAAATCTAAAACTTCTTGAATTCAAGTCTTTTTTGAGAAAACTGCCAACATTTCCCCATCCATGGTTCACTTTCTAAAAGGGCCATTTCTTTCTCTCTAGAATGATGTACAAATGAGCGTTCCTGCTCATTTTGCCTCCGAGATATGAGCAAAAACGAGACGGAAAACATGCAATTTGGGCATAATCTTGCACCTAAGTGTCTGATATTCAAATTTCGCTCTCTGTGTCAAAACTGCTCGAATTTCCTCACTCACGTTGCTACGACTGAATCGACTTTTGAATTCTCTATCCAACGATGCCAAAACGAATTCTGAGGCTCAAATGGTTCTTGAGAAACTTCGAATAAAGGCCATTTAGTTACCTCTGGAATGATGTAAAAACGAGCGGTCTTGCTCATTTTGTCTCCGAGAAACACGCAAAACGGGACGGAAAACATGAAATTTTGCAATAATCTTGCGCCGCCCTTGCACAAAACTACGATCATTTTTCTAAGTTCATAAACAACAGAAGACTGTATTTTTTCTACATGACTTTAATGATTTCTGATTTCCCCCCCTGACTTTAAAGCTGGATCCGCCCCTGGGTAGAGGGTTGATTTTGGGCTCGTTGGATTGAAGTGATTCTATTCTATAGTACTTCAACCAACATTATCGTTTTGTTTTAGGCAATTAATTTGTCCAGACCTGGTGGAGGTGAACGGATGCTTCTATCCACACTGGATAGAGTTATTTTCTATACACCCTGAACATTTTGCTGTCGATTTTTTCTTCTACCTGGAACTCTTGAGACTGGTAACTGTAAATCGACAATAAACACTCTCCTGTGGCGCTGCTCTCAAATTTTGATGAGACGAATGAAGATGATCGGTTGGAGAACATTTGAAACTTATTCCAATTAAGTAGAGTACCGGCACTTAAAGTTGCGCATTTGCCGAAAGCGTTATAAAGCGGGCGACACACGGGAATGCACACATTTTCCCATGTAAAGCCGCGTATATCCATACATTACCGCACATAAAGTAAAGGGGTTGAAAAGTGATTTAAGGGCGAGCTCAAATGGAGCAATCTGGCTCCCAGCGTTTACGAGGCGACGATGCGACTTTCATCTCTTGATAACCTGCGATTTGTATGGATTAATTTTTGTCCTGCAGAAGTAGACTCAAATGCCATTAAACTCCCGTTATCCTTCAAGGACAAGTCTTATTGGATTTGCGTGCGATTTCCGTATTAATGGAAACAGGGACCCTGGGAATCCGTTCGCATCTGGTTGCAGGGTTTCGTTTCTTATTTTTTCCCTGTCAAATCTAATAGGGTGAAAGGCATGGGTGATTTGCCCGGGCCAGGTATATAAACCGGCACTATGGAGAGCGTGCAATTAATCGACGACTTCCACCCTTTTGCTAACGACGCGATTTAAAAAAGGGCCCTTAGCAAATTGGATGATCGTGTAGGATAAAGAGCGGAAATTGTGTTTCCTAAATTCGGCTCTATGCTCGATTGAGCCGTAAATGGGCGTTTGAAAGCCCCAAGGCGACTAGAAAAACTGTTGAGTTGGCAGGAATTTTTTTTATTCGGATTCTGCAATTTTTCACTGTCTGAACGCAATTTGCATGTTTAGTGCAATATAGAGCATATGTCTTGCCAGTAGACGGGCGACAAACCCTGATTATCGCAGGCGGCAAGGGAGGGCAAATCCCCACGGATTAAGCGATCGGATTATTTGATGTCTGGCTGCCTGCTGTTTGATAAAAAACCAGGCCCGAGATATTGTTTCAATTTTGTGCTTGTCCAAAACATCAAATTTATGTCTTTCTCGCCTCAGTTTCTTCCTTCAAATGATGCAACTTTCGCTATGAAACTGGCATGCCAGGGTCGTTTCGGTATTTGGCAACTAATCTGGCCCCGGTTTATTTATAAACTCTCGTGCGCGATTATGATGTGAACATTTTTCGCATTTATTCCGGAGCATTAACCCTTTTTCCCTATTGCGATTGCCGTCCAGGCAACAGCTCCGGAAGTTTTCTCCTCCTGCCTCCAAGCCAGTTTCGCGTGACATAAAAAGTCACTTTACGGGTCCGCAAAGTCGCTATTTTTATTAAAAGCCACTCTTTGCCATTACGGGGTCCCGTTTATCACGTTAATGTCGGGACTTTATCACTTATTTTGTCTTGAAGGGATCTGCCTGGTGAAGACAACTGCCCGATCTATTTTAGTTTGCTATTTTTCATTGGTTCATCTATAAGGGGTGCTGTTGGTTGATGGGTCATTCGGTCAGAATGCGTTAAAGTTAGAGAGTTGATTCCTGGTACTGTCTGATAGAGGAAGTTTCATTCAATCTTGCAGAACGTTTTCAGTAGCTTGACGTTTTTGAGTGATTTTTAATTAATTTTTAACTGATACACTTGGAAATTGTGGCTTCGTTCCAGCGGTGTGCGCAAAACTGAAATACTTCGAACTCTTTAGAGCCATAGGATTGAGTTTGGTACTGTCTGATAGAGGAAATATGATTCTATGTCGCAAGAAAGTTCCACTAGAATAAGATTTTCAAGTGATTTTTGTCGAATTTTTTAAGCATGACACTTGCAAATTGCAGTTCTGTCGTAGCTCATTGCGCCAAAATTAATTGCTCAGAATTGGTTAGGGCTACAGGATTGATTTTGGCACTGCGTGATAGAGCAAGCATCATTCTATGTCGCAAGAAAGTTCCACTAGAATGAGATTTTCAAGTGATTTTTGTCGAATTTTTAAAAATGACACTTGCAAATTGCATTTTTTTTGTAGCTCTTTGCGCCAAAATTAATTGCTCATAATTGGTTAGGGCTACAGGATTGATTTTGGCACTGCATGATAGAGCAAGCATCATTCTATGTCGTAAGAAAGTTCCACTGGAATGAGATTTTCAAGTAATTTTTGTCGAATTTTTAAATTAGATGCAAGACCTCGATTGAGATGTTCGTGTTCGTTCCGTTTGTCCGATGCAAATCAACGCGCGTTTACTTAAACATGTCGATAAAACTGAAAAATGGCGTTTAGTTTTCTCTCTGGACCAATTTGCGGCAAATGAACCGATAAAATGAGTTCTAAACACCCTAACCGGCCGCAATTCGCCGGATTGAAACATAAATCGTGCAGGGCATACGTGCGAGAATTCACTGCCCGTTTAATATGATTTGTATGTCTTCGGCAATTTGCTGGATGAGAAAAACACCTAGAGTGGTTTCTTTGCCAACAAATCTGGAATAAGCTCGATATTTCCATCGTTATTGGGCAGAAAAGTTCTCCCAGTATACACATGGTTAATTCAAGCGTCACGCGCCATTGGTCAGCCACTGACCGCTTGGA